TTTGTTTTTGAGATACAGTGATCAGTAAATCAGTGGTATTTGGATTTTATATTTCTACTATATACTATATATTATATAATTATATATTATATAATATAATATGAGTATTGGTGTACGCTGAGATTATTTTTATCGATAAACTTCTCAGAACAATTATTCTTATCTACACGACGGATAAAAAGGATAGGTTGCTGGTAGCTGGAAACCCGCGGGCCGCCGTGTCGCACAATACGTATTGGCGGTGAATAACTATAATTGTTAATTACTCCACTAAAACGCAACATTTTTGAAAATCCTTTCTTATTGCACGGTGAAAATATGAGAAGAACCTCTATTCCAAATTTCAAGTCCGTACGTTGCGTAGTTTTTGAGATACAGCGATCAGAGAATCAGTGGTATTTGGATTTTATACATATCGTCTAAAAGTTTACAATTTATGCGTTCAACGGGTGCGTTACGGTTGATTGAAAAGTGAAAAGTGATTGTCAGTTTATCGCTGTGTTAATCCACTAATGTGCATTCTTCGAACGGCCAATCGCTATTATTATCACAAATAATAGATGTCGTAAACGTCATAATGTCAGAAAAATATAAATATCTAAATAGCTGTAGCAAACATTCAAATATACGGAATAATAATGATGAAATCATTAGAATTATGTATAAGTAAGCGTGTATACCTACATATAAAGAACTACTCAAAACCCGAACGCCACGAACGAAAAATGTATCACAGCATAAACTTGGGATCTGGGAAGGGTCCTGACCCCCAGATCCCCTTCCCCTCCCCCGTAAAACTACCACTACCTCTAGCGATTATCGGACTATGGATTTTTGTTGAATTGGTAAATCTATATAAATTATCTACAAAATAAGATTATATTTAACATTTTCATTATGCCTATAATGACCATAATAGTACAGAATAAATGAAATCAGAATGGTCACTGATAAAATTTTACACAGGGAACATTAAGGAGTTCAAAAATCATTCGGCCATTGTTTTGGAGTCCCAACAGTGTAACCACCTACACATAGACTGATAATTTACTCAATTACAACCTGCTGTAATATTGTAGCATTTACATAAAATTATTGAAATTTAATTTTATACTTCAATTCATCATTTAAATTCATTAACCCTTCGTTAGTCACCACGGGGTATTTTAATACCCCAGACATGTTAAAAACATTTATTCTTATCGAGGTAAGAACATATGCACCTCCACCGCCGTATTATATCATTTTTGATTAGTTTATTAATATGATAGCATGATTTTTATCATTATCATTGCAGTATCAAATGATAAACAATAATTCAAAGTGGAGTCTGGAAATATTTTACCCCAGGTGACTACTTTAGTTTTAGATCATTTGAAAATTAATTTATAAAAAAATTCCATTTTTTACAGAATTATTAAATTTTTTATTATTTTCATTACAAGTTATGTATTTATAAAAATTGTTATATTTTTCAAAAAGAGTTTCTTTTGAGAATAAATATTTTTATTTTAATTTTATTATAAAAGTATACTGAAAAGATAATTACATTATATTTGACCTATTTTCAATTATGATATTAGGGTTCCTATTTAACATAAATTAATAAATAATAATAAAAATATGTTGTATATGTTATCCAAAATAATAATTTAAATAATAGATCATTATATTAATGTCACATAAAAAATAAAATAAAAAACTAGAAAAGTAATTAGCAATATTTAATTTTATAATTATATAGAATAAATGTTCATATTACCTTTGAAATATTTAAAAAAAATCGCATTTTGTAGTAATAAATAATAATATGATGGTAGTTTGGTGATAAGATATGTGTGATAGTGTGATAATATGTAGTTATATTGTTTGTGTTGGTGGATAGTGGTTAGTTTGTCTCGACGACCCATCGTGTGCGGAGTAGCCCGTTGTCGAATTTTTTTCATTGTATGTTTTCTTTGGTATATTTTTGTATATTGTCATGCATTGATTTTGATTGAAATAAAAGTTCTTTTTTTTGTGTCGCTGTACAATAATTATTAATTGTATGCGATATTGATTAATTTATTATAATCCTGACCGGTACGCCCTACAATTTAATTATTTAAATATTAATTATATCTATATGTAAGACACATATCTAATAAAAAATAATAAAATTTATGAATTTATTAATTACAGAAATAAGTTTAATACATGGGGTATAATATTACTCCGGGTGATTAAAATTGTTCAGGTCAACAAGGTGACTAACAAAGGGTTAAATATATAACAGTTTGCCACTAGTAACATTGTAAAATGGAATAATTATAATTTATTCTTTGATAGAACTATGCCAATAATAATTTTCATTAAATTTTACATCCTTTCACAGCACACTTCACTTCTCCCATTGTAAATAAATAAATAACTTTTTTTGATGTACAATAAATATGAGAATTATTTATTTAGAAATTAACAAGGTTTAATACACAATATTTATTGAGTCAATACAATGAACTATGAAGCACGTGCACGTCAATGTTTTCAAAACAATTACAGAATAAATGTTATCACTTTTAGTGTGATAAATAATTAGTACTCCAAATATATGGTGGCTGAATTTTGTTTACATTTAGAAGTGACCATTCTGACTTCATTTATTCTGTGATAATGGTATGATGAACAAAATAAATCGAAAAACGCGTATTTATCGGTGTGTTGTGTACGTTGCGTCTGTATTATAATAAATTATAAGAATTATCACGAAGGGTTTTACCCACAATATCATATCAAGTTGTATCATTCTAATTACTATCGTTTCGAATATAATGTTATTGTTATATATAATTACGTTGTTATCGAATATTGTATATTTTCGTCATCCCGACGGTCGCTGTCGAACTATATTCTTATGATTTGGTTATGGTTTATGATTTATTATTTTATTTTGTGGTCGTTGCTCGCTATTTTATTACATTTTATTTTACGTTTTATGTTTGACAATAAAGTAGTAAAGTATCTATTATTAAATATGAATATAATAAATTATATATCTAAATAATTCATTGAAAATTATTCCTAATAATACCAAATAGTTTATATATTATAATATATCATAAAAATAAAAATGTATTGCAAATACAAGTATATTTACCACCAGTTTCGATATAAAAAACCATCACCGATTTATTTATAAACGCATCATTGTATTGTTTCAATTTCAAGGTGTTGCTTAAGCAATGCTAATCCGTTTAATCGATGGTATCATATTATCATGATATATTGATATTCCAGTATTTCACCGTATGCCCGTGCGTGAAAAATAAGAGGGCCTACAATAATAAATAAAGTAAAAAATACGGTGAATGGAAGAGCATTTAGATTTTAATTTAAATTTTCTTTTTATATGAGTGTATGTTATTAGTTAAATGTTGGCACCAGCTTTAAATACTTAGAGGTTATTTATTTATACTGTAAATATTTCAAGCTGTCTATACTAGTTCGTCATCATTCATCATTCTATTCGCTCGTCTCTATAATACCTATAAGAAATAAAAAATTACCAGTTGTTTTCTGATGTGCTGCGAGTATTTAAGTGTTAGCTTATCTTCGAACAACACGGCGCGTGGTATATAATTATGATAGTACGTGCGACGTCCAGCTATTTTACTCTTCGGTACATCATTGATCATTATTTTTCTTATTTTCCGTAACTAATGACTATAAAATATTATTTCAATATTGATTTAACGGAGTAGTTTATATATGTAAATAATGAATGTCATTATATGAAACGTATTATAACACAATATAATCAATGCGTTTTCGTTGATTATGATAGTATAAAAGTCAATCGTGAGTTAAATATAAACTCTTTAATATTTTAATCACAAACATAAACATACATGTATATATTATATGTATTTATAACAAGGAATAATAATAACTATAACAGGTGTACTATTGTAAATAAAAAATACGTAACTATAAATGGTAATATAAATTCAAAATATATATAGTTTTATTAACTGCAGATGTATATTCAAAAAAACTATGTACAATAATGGTATTTTTTAAGAATATATTAAAACAATATTATTATTTATGCCAGAATCGAATTCTTATTGTATGCATAGTGTATATATGTCTAATATGAAATTATCCTTGAATAGTTGTACCTATAAAATCCTAGTTACACGCCACTTATACAATTTTTGAACATCAAACATTTTACTTGAATCAAAATGTGTGTGAACATAGAAATCGAAATTTATAAACAAATAGAAAGGATAAGCAATAAGTTTAACATGTGAAACCTATAATTACAGTAATTTAAGGATGAAACTCAAATAGTTTTCAAATATATAGTTACGCATCATTCGTATATCGAATAATTGGTAAATAAGAAATCACGATAATTGTAAAAAGATAATAATAATATATCTAACAAAATGTACACGTTTGTACTAATGTATACTAAAATCTATATAAACGTAAAATATATAAATAAATATAAGTAAGAAACACAGCTAATGTGTTGATATAGAGCTTACTGAATGGTATAATAAAATTAATAAATTATATAAAAATAAAACACTAATATAATTGGTTATAGTACGCAGTACTATGGTTTCAATATATTTAAGATTATTAAGAACTATAATTGACACTAAATAATTATCTATTCTTTATAGTTGATATAAAGCGTTAATACGATCAAACGCCACCTTTCTAAAGTTAAATCTTTAAAAGCTAGGAAGATTTTATTGATAAGTTATGGTTACAGACACTTATCTAGTTATCTTGAATTATACATACAAATAATATTGCAAAACCAGTAGGCATATTTTAGTTTTTAGAATTTAATTGTATTTGTATGCGATGATTCACTATCATTAAGTTTATATTCAACCGTACTTTAGTATACTCTTATTAGTGTTTTAATGTGAAGTTGTTCGCCAAAAATGCATGATTATTTTGTATATCATTCCATGCAATAGTTGATTGTTTAAAAAATTACAACGAAAATTTTAACACTAGTATAATATTTCCAATGGAAATTGATTTTATGGTATTCTTTAACCGTGTCCCTACGAGCACTACAGGGAACACGAGTATTTGCTTGATTTAAATATTTGTTCAATTCTATCATTTTAAAAATGGCTATTTTGCAGACGGATTTATGGAAGATAGCAAAGGACGTGAGCGGAAGCTTAATACAGACCTGTGTCCGTAGACACATTTCGCTGGTGCGCAAGGGATAAGGATTCTCGAAAAGTGTCCTGGGGCGCGCTCGTACTCGTTACGCATCTGTACATCAAAAAACTTGACATACGGTAAACGTAATACTCGACTATTACTTGTACATCCACCGGGGAACCACTGGCAACTCGTAGACGGCCTCGAACGGCGACACGTACCGCAAATACTGCTGCTGGTGATCGCGTTCGTCGTCGCCGCTGAACTGCTGCTGATGATGATACTGGTGCTGCTGGTGCTGCTGGTTTTGCTGTTGCTGGAGCCTGTAGCTCTGTTGCAGGGCGTCAGACAGCACGTACTTGTGGCCACCGGCGCTGAGCACCGTCTCGGCCGGTTTGGCACCCATGTACGCCGATATCTCGGCCAACGTCAACCGGTCGTCGGATCCGTCTGCTTCCGCGTCCGACGACGAGTGGTGGTGCGGCGACGCGTACGAACCCACGTCCTTCTTGACCGGCACTTCCGCTCTGACCGCGTCCACCGTCGTCTTGCCACTCTGGTGCTGCGGCTGCGACTGCCTGAAGTCCTTGTCCTTGTCATCGGCGACCTGCTGACGCTTGTACTTGGCGCTGTACTGCACCGGATGGTGCGGCTGCTTGTCGAACCCGTCCGCGTACAGCCCCTGGTGCCGGCTGGCAAAGTGCTCGTCCATGGCCTCGTGCACCAGCTGCCTAAGCTTCTCCATCGGGTCGGCCGTGGTCGTGGGCGCCGGCGTCGGGTACATCGCGGCGACGGGCCGGGCCTGCACGCGCACCGGCACGTGCACGACGGCTTGCGTATCTTCAGGCGCGTACGCCATCGCAGTGGCGACCGGACGCTTGCGCGGCCGTCCGGACGACGCGATCATCGGGGCGCCGCCACCACTGGGGATCTGCTGCATCGCTCCGGGCTGTCCGAACACGTACGCATCGTGGTCGAAATCGCCGTAGTCCACCGACGTCATGGGCGCCGACTCGTAGCCGTCCTCGTAGTCCGTGCCCGTCGAATCGATGTAGTTCACCTGCTGGGTGCGCATCGGTGGCGGTAACCGTCTGTACCGGCCCATCGTCTGCATCGGCATCGGCACTGCTGCCTGGGCAGGCCCGACGGCCGGTCGTCGTCGCGGTGGCCTGGGTCTCCTGCCTGGTTTTGTCCTCATCGGTTTCTTCTTCAGCTGCAAACCGGGCCCTTTGAACGCTCTGCGTTGCGGATACGGATGGTATGCGATGAACGGCTGGTAAAACTGTCTCGCGGCCCGATTGGACTGCGGCGCCGTCGCCTCCGTCGTGGCCGGCTCATGGTTTTCGAGGTGGCCACCGTGGACCGCGGGCCGCAAATGTCCATCACCGTCCGGCTCCACGCCGTTTCCCTCGGTCGAGTTCACATCCCTATTTTTGTGTACACGAATGCGGTTAGAACACTAGTTGTATGATACGTATCAACATTGATTTTATAATTTAATTATAAAATCAACGATATCGACAATAATGTACAGAGCGATTGGGGTTTCATAGTTATGTATGATGAATACAAAAACATTTATTTCTAGTATTTTCATGTAGCATTAAGAAAATCGATATCATATGATATTCTGATCATTCTATACATTTACATAGCCCACATATGTCTCCCGTTTTTAATATTGATTTATTTTTCCGATTCGTATAGGCTATTGGTACATGCCGCCGACGGTTTTAATATTATCGTTAAGATTGAGCAAAACACATTGACGACTGCATCGACTCGTTTCGTATAACAACCGTGTGTTAATAGTTTTTAAGATTTTCCGCTACAAACGGAAAACTTCTCCCAACCCGTGTATAAAATTATTTTATAAATTAGTTGCCAATCAACAGTCAACATGAGCCCCCCGGATGTGACGTAAGAACGTATACGAATAATGTTAGCCGGGATACGTGTGGACATTTTCATATGATTCGAGAATCATGGTGACTTAGAAAAGAGCAATTTTACTTCGTATCGCTTTCTATTCAAGTGACGCGCCTGACAGTTGTCGAATTTTACTCTTTACCTGAACCAACATTATCAAATTGCGTTATTGAAAAAAGATATTACACAATAATGAAAATATACGAATTGCACTGGGGACAGAAAAGCTAAATGTTCGAATCGCATTCAGTTTTGAAAATAGTTAACAAGACGTTTACACACCAAGTAAAAATGTATTTGTAAATTATTGATTTTATAAAACAATTACAATACGATAAGTACTTATATTTTAATTTCAAAATCATTTACTATTAAATATTTAAACTGTTGCTAATTTTTTGGATCCAAGTGTAATCCGAACATTACTATTTTTTATTTACACTTCCACCTAAAGTTTATAAGTTTAATATATCTCATAGTTCAAAAGATTTATTATCTATCATTTTAATAATTGGATAAATAAATACTATCAAGATTGTTGATTTATGACTCTCATGGAAAGGACTCTAAAAAGAACGTTTTCTAAATCATCGTTTTGTTAGAAACTAAATTTTATAAGTGATCTCATCGTTTCGTTTTCCCACAGCCTTATTCGGAAACCTATAGTTGCATCAATAACTCAGACGATTAATACGTTTTGAAATACATAAGACGTTATTTATTTTATAATCGATATTTGTATTTATTAAAACAACCATTAATAGTAGTCAAGCGTAGCCGTCAATAAATCATCTTAAACGTACGTAATTATCGCTTGCGCTTTAATGTAATATACGAGTATAGCCGATATTGTTGAGTAGAAAAAAACAAACAAACAAAACGTTTGACAAGAGTAAACGTCTGTAAGAGAATATTCGAATATTAAGTATAAGAAAGGTATATTCCTATTATATTGCCGGAATGACCGTCTTGGTTACCTTTGTCGCTATATAAGTTATCTTTATAATGCATGCGCACGATAAACTGGTTTCCCGGTTCAAGCAGGTTATATCGATATATCCATATTATACTCGTGCGGGGTCTTCTCGGCTGGTTCACAATTTTAATTCGGTTTCTTTCTTTTTTGTATTATGCTAAGTGCGCAGTAACTAAAGTATGGTATCGTGGATTTATTTACGTCACCTAAAGGTCCTTAAATACGATAATTTGAAATAATTTCTTATTGAATTAGTACTACTAGGCATGGTGTGATAAAAAAACTATCGAAAAGCAATTAACAAGTGTTTAAAAATATGTATTATGTGCACTATGAAAATAAACAATTATCGCAAGTTTGACGGTTTTAGTACTAGTGTCTTAAAGCTTGTTGTAATTTGGTAAAAGCTTTTGAATCGAAAACAATCAGTGGTTACAAAAATCGATTTAACTTACGTGCAATGAGCAAATACCAGGAACGAAAAAAAAACAAACACCTAAAATCATAATACAAATTATTATTAAAAATTTGTATTTATATAATTTTTATTATATTCTTGTATACATGCAACAATTATTAATACCAATATATGATCTTAAAAGTAATTTTAACACAATAGCTGTAAAACGTTGCAACTTCAACATTACGTTCGTAACGATGTTACAGACGCGATAGACAAAGAAAACATGTAATAAAATAATATTATTTAGTTGTATTTAGTACAAAGTGTATACATTTTTTCGTAGTTTAAACTTACAATTTGAAAACTGAATTTCCGGAAGAATAATAACATTTTTACTCTATGATAAGTCAATCGTGATTTTTTCCCCGATTAAATTACCGACCTATAATTCGTTATCTATATAAACAAATTAACTACATGACTTAAAAACCTAAACAATTTTAAAATAACATTCATTATTGATATACTTTTTAAATATATCTTATTATACTCGTATTTATTAATTCTTATACATTTTTAGAAGAATTATTTAGGAATAATTATACATTTTACATAATTCAGAACAGTATACTAGGTGTACCTCGAGAGAATTATAAAACTTAAATTAAATTCATTAATAATAATAATAATATTATTTTAATATTTTTAGTTATATTTTAATTTTATAAAAAACAGAACTAAAAAAATTGTTTCAAGATTATAGTAAACCAGAATAATCGTTAAGGTCTAAACATGCTTCTTAAAATAAATGAGAATTAAATTTATTTAAAAACTAATTATAAATAAAAAATAATTTTAATGAATAGATACAGAGCGAATTTTTTTAATATAATTATTTTCTTAGTGAATTTATATTTTTCGAGAAAATTGTTTCTTAATAATTTCTAGTCTTATAGCGTTTATTTAAATATTTATTATTCTGATACTAGTTTTAATTAGCACATACATATATCGTATTTTAAACTTTATGTACTGAGGAAAATATTTAACAGATAATTATTATGTGTAAATATGGAATAACTAATCTACAGTATAGCTGATCAAATTTGTGCATTGATGTTTTGCTATCACTTTGTTTAATGAATTATTAATGAAAATAATTAAATTAACTTACTACCGATTCGATATTCGGCACCACCAATATTATATTTAAAATTTTCTACTTTAGGATATTAAATTAAAAGTAAATGTAATAATAATTTAAAAAAATAAAATATTATTTTTAGTAAATTAAAATTTTATAATAACAACTTTTTCAAAATAATATAAATTTACTGAAGAAATGATAGTTCAACAATAAAAAAAATCACTTTATAATCTGCATAATGTACTAACGAAATAACATATAATTAAAATTTTTATATATATAAATTAATTTCTATACGTTTAAAAAGCAATGATCAATTATCACTACGTTTTAATGAATATTAATAAATTTAAGTAGGCTAACTGGATAAAACCGATCAAATGAGTTTTTGAATTTAAATATACATCGATTAATTTAACAATATATTTGTGATTCAATTACTATAACAATAACTAGTGTGCTAATTTTTCAAATTAATTCTTTAATATACTTAAGTGGTGTATTTTGTAAGTTACCATAAAAACCAATTCTTATTTGGAATAAGTTTATAACATACGTTAACCTCTATAATGATGTATTATATTTATACTACTTTTACATTAGATAAGTTTGCCAGAGGACCTTGTTAGAGTTAAAGTAAAACTTAGTTTTGAATAAGAAAAAAATTATCTCGAAAAAACTGATTTTTACACTTATATAAAAGTATAACCATCGCCTATCACATTAAATACAATATAAGATTACCTTTAATTATGATAAATCTTATTTTTAGACTATAAGATATTTTTAAAAACATTTGATCCGATTTAACTTTGAAAAAAAATTGATTATGTATAGTATTTTTAGAAGTGATTTATAAATCGAATTTAAATACAATTTCGAAGTGTACATTTCTTATAATATGTTATTAAAGCATTCTTAATATTTTCAAGTTTTGATATCGATTATAAAATATTTTTCTAACTGTAACTACCAACTAACATTTATAACATATTTTAAAGTTATTTACATAAAAATATTGATAATTCAGTGGTTTATTTTTTTATACCTATACTTATATTTGAATTATTATATTTCTTCTCAAAATCCAATATAAATAATTATTGACCTTTTAAATTTTATTATAATTGCAATTCATTTTAAGAAATTATTAAACAACCTTGCATTTAAGTTTTTTTTAATATGAATATGTAGTGTTGCGCATAAATGTACAATTTTAAATATTTAAGCTCCTTAAACAAATACAAATAGTTGAATAATTGAACTAGTATGGAATAATCATTTTAAAACTATCATGTGAATAATTTAAACCTAATACTAAGAAACTACTAAATTTAAGCTGTCGTATAAAATTATGAGAACTGATTAAAAAAGATGATATATTTAAATTAAAAATATATATACTACCATAGTTGTAAAAAGTAATGATAATTAGTAACTATATTGTATATAATATGATTCTTAAATACATTTATTTATTAGAAAAACTAGTCGTGAACTTTATTACTAATTTATTAAAACATCAAAAAATGTAACAATATTACAGAATCGCTTAGAATAAAATATAAGTACTCACCAATTTGTTATCCGTTTCCATTATCGAAGTTCAAAAAAAAATGAATTCACAGCCGTTAATTATATTGACTTTGATGATTTCACAGACCAATGCACTGTGTTTGCGGAATAACTGTTCTAGAAAAATCGAACGCAGCACATAATCGAACTGTAATGCAACCACCGTATATGTGTATTGTACTTATCTATAATATATTATTTTATAACTTTATTTACGACACAATTCTACTAACCGAAATCGAACGGAAATCGCATTGTAAGACTACGTACAGTCCTGTGATGCCGCAGGATTGGCATTGAATCTAAAACACACGATGACCTCCAATTACCATCTTTTATAAGCTTCTGTGAGACCGGTCGGTTGCGAGGGAGTCGGGAGGGAGTGCAAATACGTTACGGTATGTATAACCGATGCACAGGCTTTCCACAAATCGCACGAACCCGCATAAACACTACGGTGCCATCACTGCCTCAAATTTCTTCCGTTTCACCATCGCGAAATGTGCGAACATCCGATAAAAACCTCGGTCGTCCAAGTAGGTTTATCTAAGTTTCACTACCATATTACAAACAACGTACCAACTTTTTCTCTTCTCCTGAATTCTTTGCTTTTCTGTCGGCAAAAAGGTACAAAAGCAGAAAATCACTAAAAAAAAATAGACAATCAGGACTGAACTGGACTTTGATTTCTTTTCAACGAAAAAATGTACTAATATTATAAGAATCGAAGTAAAAAAAAAAAAGTCGACCGGATACAGAGACCGATTATTCGTCTTCGTTGCTTCATTCTTCAGACAAAACACTGGCTAATCATGACAGAGGGAAGCGATATGACATACTTAGTACCTTTTTTGGATCACTATTGTAGGATTTATGTGTTATGGTTGTATTTTTTGAATGAATATATAAACAAAAATATTAATAATATTACATAGATCGTTATAAAATAAAAAAATAAAAAAATTATAAACGAAAATCAAGTGCTTATTTATAACTTGAATTAAAAAAAAATTTTAATGCGTCATATAAAGGAATGTAAATTATTTAGATGTAACCAAAAAAGAATTTGAATTTAATGTACGACATTGATTACCAGGGCTAGAATTTGTATGCAACAGCATGTTTTTTTTGGGACTTCTGATTATTGATTTTGTCAGTAATGTCCACGAATCACCTCATGATGAGATAAATTGTGGTGTTTTTATTGTGCATGTTTTTGCATATTTTGGATAAAATACATAATATTAAATATACTGAATAAAATTAATATTATTGCATATTTCGATTATAAGAATGCGAAAAATGAATGTTTTATAGTATATTTCGTAATTGATATTTATAATTTAATATTAATATTTCATACTTAATTCTAGCCCTGCTGATTAAAGTATAAAAATTGGTTTTTTTTGTTAAACATACATTTTATTTTATTTTATTTCTCAGTTATATTATATTAAAACAAACAGCTAACCACTGATGTATTTCAATAAATAAATATTTTTTTTGTAACTATATTTTTGTGTTTATCTTATAAAAATTTAAATGCATATTTTTGCATATTTTGGTAAATAAAATGCATAGTTTACAATTTTTATTGTATACAAATCCTAGCCTTGTTGATTATTAATTTTATTAAAACTATGGTAAATATTAACGTAAATAACTTATACAATATAAGACAATGTTTTATATTTGTCTTATTAAGCCATACATAGATATATATGTAATAATAATATGCCCATCCTCGTAAAATTCCTTAAATGGTAAATACAAAGAATATCAAGCAAAATATACGTTATTAATATATTATAGATATTATAACATGCATTATGGAAGACAATGCCACGTTTCTATGATTTCCTACCCTATCATTGCAATAAACTCCAATATTTAATATCTCACGAAATGAATTAATAATATTTATAAATGAATCTAGAAAAATCGGTTGTTAAACTAAACATATCGTTTCTAATTAAAAATATTACTATATTAATAAATATTATTCCCAATTTGATATATTTATATAAAATTCGAGGTAAGTGTTGCAATTACATCATGTAAATAAATTATTAAAAATACATCAAGCAAATTTAATAAATTAACAAAAATAAAAGTTTTAAATATTACTTTTATGAGTATCTACAAAAATTAAAGTGGATACAGGTTTTAGATAAAATATTGGGTGGGACGAGTATTTATTAAAAGCATTAAAAAAAAATATAGAAATCGTAAAACCTTGCATTCATGACTCATAACTAAATAAAAGTTTAAAATATAGCTAAATTAACAGAAAATGAAAATTGAATCTTAAAATAAATCATAAAAAAATAATATTTATTAAGTTAAAAACTACGTATTTGCTTTGATTTATTCGTTAAATTGAATATTATTTTATAATAATTGTTTAAAATATAATAATAATTAATTTCATTTCAAGGCTTCCAATATAAAAATAAAAACAAAAATATTTTTCCAAATTTCAAAATCCGATATTCACCCTCAAGTCAAATTAGTTTATAAACAATGCTATCTCCAATAATCACTTTAATTGCTTAAGTAAATGAAATATAACTAATTAATATTTATAACTGAATAATATTTACTTCTTAAATATAATTTTTATGTGTTAAGAAAATGATATACTAGTTGATATATTTATTAAACTTTCGGTATATATAAGCCATAAATATAATAAATTCATTTTTAATATTTAAGTATTTCCCGTCTATATATATAATCCAAAATTCACAATTATATTCATATATCATATATGTTATAGTCAGAGCATATTTTAACATATAAAGTACGTGGCACTATTCCCCCCCCCCCCAGTGATAATTGAATGCTACCCAGTGGTGGGTGATAGCACCACTAACCAACACATTTTCATAACGACCGTAGTAACAGGAATTGATTTTCCCTGTATATTCCTCTGCCGAAGAACACCACGTCTATGAACTACAATGGTAGACAATTTTATTTAAGTGCCACTTAGTGAAAATTAATTAAAATATGTTCTGGTTATAGTTAAATGCACTGTAATAGACAGTCATAAATCACGACTGTAAATATATTCTACACATTTCTTAGATATACATGTCGGCACTCTCGCTGAGAATATTCTACGCACGCATATGGTATACATGAGTTATTTTCATATATACATATATAATATATATACCTATATATTATGAATATGTATTTCAATAATATACCATAAGTTTATTATAATAATGTTGATGTTTTATGCAGCGCAAAATATCGAGAATTATCGCCTTTCGCTAAATTATAGTTTTGATTGAAAATCCATTTCATACTTAACCGTCTATAAATTGTCATTATATGTGATTATTTTTCTAAATTAAAAGCATATTGAATCCGTCCAATTAATTAAAAATGTTTATTTGTATAAATAATTTATAATTTTTATTAATTTACAAGTCTCTTAGTGTACCAAGTTACATTATTCCTACATAGAGTTATTTTTCTATTTATAAGTTACTTTAAAGTATATACTTATAAAGTAATTAAGTGATCTCTTTACAAATAAAATGAAAATTATCACATTTTTATTGGCTCTTTACAGTTTTTCTTTATAATTTTTCGTTTTGCTCGTTAGTAAAATAAACATTGATATCGAGTTATATCATACTTTTATACTTGAAGTCTTTATAAATTCTACATCAATTATTAATTATCAAGCAGAGGATTATATTATTCGATAATTAATATTAAAATTAACAACGCATTTTGTAATGCATGTATAATTTTGGTATTACTATTTATAAGTAATACATTTTTGAAAATAAAGTTTTTGTTCTATTACTATGTTTAAAATCCATAATTCACATCCTATATATATTATATACATGTTATTTCAGAATCATATGCTACAGTAGATTTCTAAAACATTATATCGAAAGTTTAAACCATTTAATGTTATTTAAGAAATCATAAAATCTAACACTTTACCTCAGATCGTGCAAATAAAAAGTGAAGACTTCAACGCAAGTGCAACATGTATAAGAAAAAAAACACGATTCAGTTATTTAAAATAAATGTTGTTCAAATTTTTACATATTCTAGCTTAAGAAATATGCTGTACTTTCTGCCTTTTGGGCATATATAAATAAAAAAAGATAATAAATAAACAATTTTTCAAGCGTGTCTATAAAATTTTGAAAGTTGACTTTTGTGAAATATTTAATTTAATTTTCATATTATTTAACAAGAAAAATCAAGTATAGAGGAAATAAGTAAACGCACATGTAGTACAGTTATTGTGAAAGCTTATTATAATAATTATAATAATAATAACAATTAATAATAATCATATTTTACTATATTTTTGTTTGCGCATTGCCTATACAATATTCGGAATTCTATAAAAAAAAAAACATGGTCTTTCTACAAATTCTATATTTCACACTTCATCATTTTGACATTTTTGGCATTTAATAAAATTAAGATTAATATAAAACGCGGATTTCTACTTAATATACTGATGGTATACCTACTATTTGAAGTTAACATTATAATTTATCTACCATACATGATTTTGCAAACATTCGTATTATCAATCAAAACGAGCCAGTTTTACACGTAATTTTTACAACGAAAAAAATACCTTAAACACACGTAAATAAAATTATCTACTTGTAAATTATATATTGATATTGAATTGCATTCCAAGTATGTTTTGAAAAATTGATTATTGAGTGGTTCATCGGAAGTGAACGCGGGCCTGCCATATATTCATATATCACGAGTATATTAAAAAATTAAAACAAGTTTCTTTTTCAGTTTTATGCACTAATATAGTATGCTGTTTATACGTCCCAAACAAGACTGGTATTATGCGTATGTTCAAAAACCAAATATAATAATCACCACATATCAAACATTAATTATTGTCACGATTTCATTCAAATCAAATTTGTATTTATATACACTCGAATTTCTTTTAATGTACGAGTATTTGCTATTATTAGGTTATTTAAAATTAAGTGTATTTAAATAAAAACGTAATACATGAAAAATCGTACCAATAATTCATAACATACTGCACATTTAAAAAACCTGATGTAATAAAGTGAAACGGATAGCGTTTAATAAAAAATATTATTAGGCTATCATTAAAAAAATCTGTATTTAATCTAAATCGTGTTTAGGAAATTACCATTTGTTGATATGAATAGTAATTAAGTTTCTTCAATTCAATTTTTATGAATATACCACAAAATAACATATTACTTATAATAATTATAAGATTGTAGGTGTATTTTTTAGGAATTCCAGTGCCGAGCTAAATTTCTTCCTTGACTCTTAAATAATTGTTTTCAACAATAGTATATTTATGCAACAAATATTTAATACGCTAAAAAGTATCCTTAACTTCCAAATTTTAATTGATTTCATTACCTAGTTGAATTGTTTTAATTTGAAATGTAAAAGAAACGGGAGAGTTTGAAAAATGTTATGTAAGTATTTTTCTTGCATAGGGTAAAATATGTATACAATTTAAAGAAAGCTGTTAGTATGTTTATATTAAAAGAAGAAAACACGATATTATAAATTAATAGCGTACATTACACAAGTTAACAATTATCATTAATTTTAATTCTCGATAAATGATGATACTGAACATTGACGTTAAAATTATAGGTACCACATCTGTGTGTATGTGTGTGTGAGAGAAAAAGAGAGAAAACTGTAAAATAATTAAATTCACGAATATTGTGGTAAAATGTATTGATGTAAATTATTATTGATTCAACGAAGAGATATTGATTAGTTACGAGTAATAATATAACGAGATGTTTACGGTTTGATTGAAAATTAAGAATATATTTCGAATAAGACTCTTAAAAGAAAATGATTTTTTTAGTTTTCACTTTTTGGTTCTTACTGAAGCACGAAACTAAAATAAAAACCTAACCTATCTAAACATTAATACAATACCTGGACGGATACCATCAATGTCACGATAACAACGTATTATCATTTAAAACACGTATAGTAGTATTTTCTACTTAAAAAGTATGAGTACACTCATAAGATAACGTAGATTTTTAAACCTACGTTTTTTTTTTTTGCATTGTCGTCTCATATAAAAAATTATATTTAAAGTATATTGGTCGTGAAAGCAGATATCTGATAGCAAATGGAAACGAATTGGATTATATCAAACGGAGAATACGAGCTGAATTCAAATGTTAAAATTGTTTTTATTTTAAGATTATAACTGAAATAAAAGAAAGTTTAATGGGCATTGTTTTTAGGTTATAAAAGGATTTTAATAAAATGTATAATGACGAACGTTCTAATATATTTAACAAAGGTTAACATAATGTTAAATATTTAACTCGATATTAATTTCCTCGGATGATTTTTCTTTTAGATAATCGATGAAATTTTAATTTATGATAAAATTATAATATTTAATACTAAATATAATATTATAATATTTATACAAAAAGTATTTAACATGTTATCTAACTTCTATCTATGAACTTAATATGTTTTTTTTTCATGTATGGTGGAGTTATATTTAGTATAAAATATATTTATGTATGATATCCATTGATTTGTTCATATTTTTAATATAAACGAATTATATATATAATTACAAAATTAATCAGAAAACTTGATTTTATTATGATATGGTTAAGATTTTTTTACTTGATTTACGAGTCTCGTATTTTATAAAAAATACCTTATGAAGATATAGTATTAATCTATATATTATCTAATACAAACTAATTACTTTATATATCGTTCATATATAACAGTTAACTCATGTATTCGAAAAGAATATATAAGCGAGAAAATGAATGATTACTGATTAAGTAACCACATCAATAATCGTCCCAACCAGTTATGACAAATCTATCGTTTAAAAATTGAAAACAACTCGATCGTCGGTAATCAGTAAAGTAGCATCACAAAAAGTTGTTTTACAAAGCAGCTACTTAATACCCAAAATAGGTAAGTGGGTGTGTGGTGCCTCGATAGGAATATTAAGGTTATTTCCTATAATACTATATAATATTTTATAATATTAATATCTGTAGTACATAATTATAAAATTATAAACAGATAAATTTAATAAAAATTATGTAAGCACAATATATCCTTTTCTAGTTCTTTATCCAATTTCAAAATAATTAAAAACTTCTCGACATCGTTGTTTAGCAACCATTGTGCTATTATTATTTGATTATGCAAATATTTTTTTGTTTTTAAAAGAAAATTATTAATAAAATGAAATTAAAAATTATTAAATGGTTAATACTGGAGTTAATACTAAGTTGTTGTTTTATTTTTTCATATTTAGTTATAATTTTATTGACATATATACCTGACAATGGATTTTTAATTTGAAATCGGTTGTACATACTTTACAAACATATTAATACTGTAAGCTAATATTTTATTTATTTCTAAACTGTCCCGTTTTCTAAAAATTATATAGTATTTATATTAATATGATTCTATTGAATTTTTAATAAAATGTAAAACAAGGAATAAAATTAATTAATAATAAAATAAAATAATAAAAAATGTAATAAAATAATATAAATAAAACGAATAACTTCATGGAATGAAGCGTCTAAATTATGTTTGACATCATGGGTCCCTAAAAATTACATATCATCTGTCTATGATGATGTTGGAATGTTGATGTACAACATAGACGTGAGTACGTGACCTACACGTTTAGCACTTGGTTAGAGTCATAGACAGATGGAAACGTGGCCGAATAAATACGCCGAATATAATTGAAATTGCACATCCGCATATACGTGTAGTTAAACGAATCAACCATCACGGAATTCATATAATTCATTGTAATAATGAAATAGAGGAGCAAAATCAAAACTTGTAATACTAAAAAAATAGGTCTATATTAGGCTTGAGGCTTAATGGTTTGTAAAATAAATTAATAATTTATAAGGAAACGATTATAATATGCTGAGGAATAATAAAGAAGTAAAAATATCGATTTGATACGTAATGTAAAATGTTTGGAATTTTTGTTTGAAGTTTTTTTTTTTGTAATTAATATACTATTATCACTTTTTTAGGAATTCAATAACAACTCAAAGATTAATTTAGATTTCTGAAATTAAGTTGAATCAATTTCTAATTTAGGTTTTTGCAGTGCCACTCATCCATTTAGAATTAGGTACGTATTTGAACTGTTATTGTTCTATTCAAATGTAATACTCTTTATTTTCCATACATAGATAACTTAAAAGTATTTTATTAATTATATTTAAATTCAAAAATTTCTATAACTTATGTACATAATGCATGTTTTATTTAAAATATAATTGCTAATTAAAATTATATGCTTATCGTACAATGTTACTCAATTCACTTAGAAAACTATTTAAAGAAGAAAATTTAAAACGATTTGAAATTGAAAGAAATAAATTCTTAGGACTATAAGGAACTCTTAATAAAAACAAGACATTGAGTATTATATGAGCACTGACCAAAAATTAAGTTAACAGCATTTTTAAAGAAATCCACCATTCCCATAGAAATATACTGATAAAACTTACCTCACTATTCAAGAAAAATAATTCATGGTCCTCACTCAAAAACTGAAATCTGAACAAACAGTATTTCGTATGCTGTTGTAATATTTGTATCATAAAGTTGTTGGATTATGTATAGAATAAAAAGTTATTGTACTAATTGTATTGCATAAACGAAAAAAGTGTATACATTTTTCATCGTGATTATTTTTCGATAGAATTTACAAAGTGCATTTAATAGAAATAATTATAAAGTAGAAAAAATATTACAGTAGAATGTTATAAAAGAAAAAGATCATACAGATTCGAAGTGTAGCAGTAGAATAATAATATTTACATCAACAGTTTTACATAGAATTTTATACGAGCATAATACATAATACGAGTATACTAAGAGAGTTCATTATGTTTATGTGGTACCATATCTTATTAATAGTGGATATGGTATCAATCATTTTTTTTTTTTTTTTTTTTTTTTAATACACATTGATAATATTAGTACTACGATTTATTGGTGATTTATCGATATTTTTTTGTAAAGAAAATTATATTAAAAATCCTATTCCACATCTCTCCCAATTGGATGAGTTAAACGTCTCAATGGCCTGCCTTTTTTTTTTTTTTGGAATTTATCTTTTAAATGTATTAATCCTGATTTTTGCAGTTCTATGTTCAGCCACATTCGCGATCGCGAAGAGAATCGAATAAAAAAAATCATAACTGATATATGCCTGGGGTTCCTCATTTGTGGTTACAAAAGTTTCTAGAATAATTTATAGGTTTCAGTGTCATTACAACTAGGACGAAGGACTCACGATAAGTTCACAAGCATGCAGAAGCCACAAGGTTGTCTACCAGTGTCAAGTGTACAAGTGTCTGCGAGTTCAACGGTAATTTATACGACAGCACCAATGAAAGCCGAGTTCACCCGCGTATACTAGACAACAACACGTAATGCATACATAAATGTATTATAAAAATGAACGTCTACGATCTAACACGAACATTATACAGTTACGGACGCAAAATGTTATGTACACGTCGGCGAAAACAGCCCTGGTTCGCGCGCGAGATTCCCGTGCGTACAAACGCCTCCGATCTGGCGGTATATACACGTTTCCTGCGACCGCGGCCAGGGACTTCCGACGGGTTCGCACGCGCCCCGATCGTAACGCACCACGCCGTTACGCAACGGTTCGTGCGCCGAAAAACAACGCGGGACGGAAAGTTTCGTGCCCGCAGATCGCACGGCACACGGACGTGCGTTGGTGTGTACATTGTAAAACAGCCGAATTATAATAATTGCGGTACGGGGTGAAAAGTGCCGGTGCGCGCGCACGGTGGAACAACACACCTACGCCCGGAACCTACAATTACCGTGCAGTTAACGTACGAAGAAATACGACCTACGTGCGCGCGGGCAGCGCGTGTGCGAATCACGATATGCCTACGCGTACCGGACACTGCGCGTATTGGTGGTAATGGTTAACGATACCGCGCACAACTACGGTTTACCTACCACTACCGAACATCACGCGCATTCCAATCACGTTTTCCGATCGGTAACGTGTGCGCGCGCGCGCCGATAAGTGTATGCACGGTATTCATTATTAAGTGTGCCCGGCCGCTTCCGACGGCCATCCTAACCGATCCTTACGTAAAAACGTATTCTTCTCTCGTTTCGCACGACCGCCTCCCGCCCCCGCTGCTCCCCGTTCGTGTAGCCCCGTTGTTTTCCGTCCGGACATCCTTGACGTTTCTCCGAGTTTTCGGATTCCCGCGCACATCGATCGGCATGTCTGTCGCCCGGAGCGCCACCAGGTGCCGGCGCGCACGCCGTCGCTGCCGCTTTCGCTTTGGCCCCGGGAAACGTGTACAACGCGTAGATGTCGGTGTTTTTTTAAATTTTATTTTTTTTCTCCGTTTCAATATTACTTTATATCCACCCGTACGCGCGTACAAAAAACGCATAAACGATTTTTTCCCATATCTTTCCGGTATGTCTTTCTCCGGTGTACTATTCGCTCGTTGATTAATTGCTAGACCGTACGATTTTATAAAACTGTTTTCGTCGTTGTGTATTTTTTTTTTTTCAGCTTTTTCTTTTCGTGTAAGTTTTTATTAATCTCGAGATCGTCGCCCACGTACCAGTACTCGTTCAGTGCGCTTTGGATTCCCGAGAACGATCAAATTACCGTACGACTTAACACGAAAATAAAAACATAAAAATATATGTTTTCCCTCGGCCGACGCGGACGGGTCGAAGGTCAAGCGTTCTTGCTTTTCTGCCGGATTCGACGTTTACCGAAAACGATCCTCTTTTTTGAATTTAATAACTAGGTATCATACGGTAGCATTAGTAAGTTATATGAGTAAAATTATACTACCACGTTTTATCTATAAAATTTTTACTCTTCGATTATTTTCGCATGATATGAATACTCTATATACAATGTAGCGAAAGTTGTTAACTAATCATAGTTGGATCCCTCTACAAATAGGCTTCATCGAGTAAAATTCATAAAATCCAAAAAAGTTTTATTTGAATAATTGTCTTTAAACTACATTTGTGTGATCTAACTATTGTCGGAATCGATAATCAGTTAAAATATACCTCTCTAGATAGAAGGCGTGATTACATTAACTGTTTTTTTTTTTTTTTTAACTGTCGAATGGAACTGTCAACTTTTAGTCAAACTTATTGGTCATAGAGCCCCTACAGTCAGTACTAGACATATAGTAATTCCTTATTTTATATTTCACAGAGTAACCGCAATTTCGTTCTTCATAGTCTCAGAGGCATCTCCAGACCTTGGCTATGGGAAGATGGTTGGGAAATGAAATAATATAAAAAATAATATTAATTTACATAGGATTCAGATACAGAGTGTAGAAACATTTTTTCATATTTTGAAATTTAGAAAAATACTCCACAAAAATTTGTGTCATTTGAATGTTACATTATTAAAAATTAATCATCATAGTATATCTTTTGTAATTGGCAGAGTGGTCTATTATTTTTTTTCTACATTCAATGCAATCTACCTGTGATATGCAAAAGCGCCAAATCAGTAATCTATTTTGGTCCATTTCACTTCTTATTTAAGAATTATTTTAAGTGCTTATTGTACAAATATATAAATATATATATATATATATATATATATTTATATATATTGATTCTATGATAGCGATTACCTATCTATAATAAAAAGATAACCGGAATCTATTGTATAAAAAAAATATCAAGTAATTTAATAAAAATTATAAAATTGACCAATTACTATATAAGTCAATCCACCTAACGGAGGGAGGGGGATCGCTTCCATAAATCCCCCTCCCTCTATGAAGACATCCCTGCATAGTCTCATCAGTAGAATTGTATATTATTTTCACGATAATCAAGCGGACGATTTCTTTTTCAACAATGATATTCATAAGTTGAAAAAACTGTTACCTTGTTTTTAGTTCATTCTTTTATATTACTTGAACATTTTTAGTAGTTTTTTAGTTAATCATATTACGCGGGCTTTAATATCAATAAATAAATAGATAATCATTGATTATCATTAAATCGGATTACCTAAATGAAAAAATTGTATTTAATATTTTTTGTCGAATGTAAAAATATCCTGTCGTGGTTGACACTATAAACGGACTTGATGGAAAAGTTAATTTTTAACTAAGATCTACGACAACCAACCGTTTACATCATCAGCATTTCTAAGTTTAATAAACGGCATCCAGTGAATTATTATAAGTAATTTGTATTAAATTTTCTACTTTTAATCGTCGTGTTTGGATTTTGTGTCATTTTTGTTTAACTTAAACAGAAATTACACATAAATTATTCATTAAAACTAAAACGCATATTATATATGCATTATGTTTTTATTATAAAATACAAAGTTCGTTTATATTTTAAAAAGAGATAAAAATAAAATAATGTGATTTATGAAAAATAAAAAACCGTTAATATTTACGAAAAAATATGAATAATAAAAAGAAAGTTTAACTATTGGTGTATTTTAAAAATCCATTAATTATTTACGAACCGGTTACAATAGTAGCTTTATGTTATTTCAAATAAATATGTTCTTAGTAATTTTGAAATGTTATTAAATAACAAATTATCGTACGTATTAAATAGGTAAAATACCTAAATATTTATTAACATTCTAATAATACGTATATTAGGTAAATCATCAACAATATATTTAATATTGTTTGGATTCAACCAGAAGACTTGAACAGTGTCGATAAAACACATAATATTATTATAATATATAAAATTATATATATATAATTTATAATATATTATAACATTAAATAACTACAACTGTGTCTTTTGGGCATTACAGAAATAAAATTAACATTAAGAACAAACTAAATTATTAAAAATGTAAGTATATGCATTGTGAAATTACTGTTTTCGTAAAATCAACAGTTTCACGAATTTGGAGCAATAAATAAATAATTTTTTAGAAATTTGATAATATTGGCTATTATTTTTGTGCCTAAACCGATATATTTTAATCCATCAGCCCTTAAAAACTTTATTATTATTGTTAGTAAAAATTAGAAACCAATTTACATTATCTATGTAAAACTGCATTTAAAATCGTTGTATTGTCGTCGATTAAAGTCTAAACGAACATCAACAACACATATGAAAATTAAAAACCGGAACCTGCAGCAACATTTGACAGCAATATTCTACTCAAATCCTGTACCTCAGCGGACAGGTTTTTGTTTTTGAATTTCTATCAGGATTAATAACTGATCAAGTACTACATTTAAACATTTATCACAATGTGTAAGTAAAAGTATAATTCCGATCGCTCGTATAAAAAATAATTGAAAATAACAATAATTAAATACAACACAACTATAGTTTCAAATATTGCCGTTTATCGAAAATTAATTTTGATTGCTTTCAAATTTAAAGCCATCAATCCCAGCGGGCTATCAAATATCTATGCTTAATCCAAAGCCTGTATATTTTTGACCAGATTCATTCGTACAGTTTTAGTGGTGGATAAATACTTATGCTGGATTAAGGAATGTCGAAATGTTAAAAATGTAAATATTCATACTTGTAAACTCAACTATTCCTACAATTTTACGTTAAAAAAAAAATATATAAAGATATTGTATCTGCAAATTTTTGCTTAGTTAATTTAACATAATCGAGTTGATAAATCATCACATTAAAAAGTAGAGGTCCGATTATTAATGGGTATTATCGTTGATTTTAAAATACACTTTATAATTCATAATAATGTCTATAATCAATGTTATTATTAAACGTCTAAAATATTCAGATAATACAACATACTATTAGTCTTGGAAATAATTTTCAAACCAATCATACACGAAATCACTTGTTCTATCAAAATAAATATTTATAAACACTTGCTGAACGAACAATTGTTTACAAATTTTCCTTTTGGGATAACATATCGTTTCCAACATAATGATGATTTTACAGATAGTTTTATGATACGTGGGTAGTGCGAATAACCTTCATGATTTAAAACCAACCGTCGTTCGATGAAGAATAAATAAATAATTTAATGTTTTAATTACAATAAATTAAATGAAAAAGATTACAATACCAAAAAAATAAATAAAAAAAAAACATATTTTGTTCATTTCTCAATTTGATAATTGGTAAAGATCAAACGCGGTGCACTACTGATGACACCGGGCGGATCTTTAATAGTTTCTTGCTGATAATATAACGAATGCTGTTGTTGCTGCTGTTCCGGTTGCTGCTGCTGCTGCTGCTGCTGTTGCTGTTGATGCTGCTGGTTCTGCTGATAATGCTGCTGTTGTTGTTGATGGTGATGATGGTGCTGCTGCTGTTGCTGTTGTTGTTGTTCGTTCTTACGTATCGGACATAAGCACGGTACCCATTTCACGTTAGAGTTTTTATTAGATTCCAAAATCGATTGCAACTGAAAAAAATAATCATTAATGCAATACTCTCATACAGTACGTAATGATGTGTATGCATGTACACGACAATGCTGCAAGGTACATCGCAATAGTTGGCATTCGTGAGCTGCCGAGTGCTTTCCACGGTCACAAATGGATAAGATTGAAAAATAATTATTCGAAGTGAAAACAATGTAACCACTACAACTATCTGCATATGGATGTACTTACTACATGTTATTGTATACGTGTTGCTTTCGCGTAAGGAGCGCTCGTACTTAACGCGAAGAAAATATTATAATGACAGCGAATGCCGTCGCCCGGCGGTCCGAGAACCATGACATTCCGCCAGTTTAGTCCAAGCAAAACAAATAAAGAAGAATTTGTTGTTGGATCCAAATGGTTTATTTGGAGGGGGGGGGGATAGATCAATACGTTCAGGAAGATAATGATAATATAGCCCGCAGAAGTGAGCGTGATACCGTTAGTACCGAATTGGTTGTAGATGCACACGAATTGATATTAATCGGCGCTAGGCTACACAAGTCGCACGACTGATTAACGAAGAGATAAATAATAACGCATCAAATACCATAATGGTCGTCCGGTGCACGCGTACACGCAACAAATGCAAATCGAAGAAAGCGGAGAATCCTGTTGGTAGGATAGTGATGTGTCCTGCGAACTTCCCGGACAAGTGGAACGATCATGCGCACTGCAGTCCCATAAATATATTTCGGTCTACTGAATCCATTACGCCGGACAGTGTCATAACTCAGTTCGCCGACGACATTATGTGAAACGAAAAGGGGAAAACTAGAAAACTATATAATATTTATGTGATGCGCATAAATGCGTGAAGTGTACACAGATTTACCTACAGCTATTTACAGTGGAGTGATCACATCACGAGACGGGTTATTGCGCAGAGCCTTGTAACAATATCTAAACGAGTATTTGAGTATCTCATGAAAGATACTTTGGTCTAAAAACAAAATGTAAAAACACATTCAATACAGAAATGTTGTATGCATAAAAACCGTGCTTAGAACCTAATTATTAATAATCAAAGAATCCGATTGTGTTCGTATGTTGCTTCTATATAATGAACACATGGGAAAAATAAGATTATTTTGAACAGCGTTCAACGAGTATGACCGATGGCCGAATAGGTAAAAAAAAGTCAATATATAATAGTCATGGTAAAAAATAATGAAAATAAATACAAATCTCTGTCGGTTTTTATGAGTAGTATATAAAAGAGATGTTAATTCGAATGAGTACTGTACAAAATAAAAATTTATAAATATTAATGAAATTAACAAAGATATATTTGGACCCAAGTAATATAATCAACCCGAGAATTTTATTTTATTTTAGACGACAACGAGACGTATAATACGTTACTAAAATACATCCAAAGCACTAAATTTTCGGGACGCATGGAATAATTGAAAAACAAAACAACATCTTATTACTACAATGAAGCGATACGTAGAACTATAAAAAAAAAAAAAAAAAAAAAAATGTAACCGAACTGAATTCGTTATTCTACTGGAATAGTAATAATACCGAGACAATAATTTCCACTGTCCCGGTAATCATTTCTGGTGTCACGATATTTATTTTTATTTTTTTCCGTGATCAAGTACTCAAATGAATTACTCCGTATCTGTTTTGATCCGGATTTAAAAATCGAGGCGAAGCGTTTAGCACTAAAACGCCAATAGCCATCGCTGCGCCTAGTAATTTTACCAAATATATTGCACACTAAAACTCATTTACGATTTTATGTCGCCGCGGTGTTTTGGATTTACGCTCAATCAGCTCCAGCTAGTCGGTTATCGGTGTGTTACAATAGAAACTTTCGAGAACGCGATTATCGATGCCACTCATTCTCCACGTGTTTATACATATACAGCGATCGAACGCGACCGAATGAATCGCGCGTCGGGGAAACGACACGCGTTAGAAACGAACGCGGAACACTCGGCAAAACGCGTTTAAACAATACAGTATAATAATATAGAAATAGTGTAAATATACGTATACACACGAGCAATGCGCGAACGTATAATAATATACGTTCGCACTCGGGGCAGTCGTGGTGGTACTGTCGGCCAGGATTCCGACGAGCAAAAACCCTACGCGACCATAAATCTCACGGTCGCAATCGGCACATCCGCGGCGCTTTTGCAGCGTTAGAAATCTTACGCGCGATATAATGCATACGAATACGGGATAGGATGTGCGTACATGTCGTACAGCTTCCCGTGGTCGTGCTCATCGATTTCTCTCTTATTGCCGGTAAGCGCAGCGCGCATACACGTGCACGCCGCACACACTTACACGCACACGCGCACAGGGCTTGACCTTCGGTGTCACTTTCTTCAATCACGAATCCAATGGACACACACACACACACACACACACACACACACACACACACGTCTAGGTATAGATACCAATATGCAAGTATAGGCTCTGAGAACGGTTAAATAAAAAAAATAAATAAAAATAGAAAACCTCTTTCGACTTTTTCGTTCTATTATTAATATAATTTTCGTACATGATCCTCGAACTCGATAAACTGTGTACAACGTGCGCGTACTCAAGTAACCACGCACGCACAGTGGAAGCGCCTAATCAACGGTCAACCGTTGTTGCGAGAAACGCACAACGTACGGTTGTCGCACGAAATGTCTAGTTGTTATGGTATTCAGGGATAGGGTTTTTTCATGAACTTTCTTTTTCGTAGACGAGGTCAATACGGTCAAAATGTATAACAGCTAATGTTTGGATATTTTCAATTGAAAAAAAGAAATGTACCGTAAGTAATCTATAACTATACATAGTACATCTTGAATTGCTTCATTATTTTAGTTCATGGGATTTTATCCCAGACATTTATACGGAATCGATGAAGCACCTATAAGAAAACTGTGATCATTTTATTCTTTAAATCAAAACTCGATATTGTACACAAATTCACTAAAATACCGTTTTTTGTCTAATTTAGAATAATTTAGTTAAGTTAATTTAGTTCGTTCATTAGTCTTATGATATTAGCAATTTCAACGAAATATTTAGAAAGATTATTGAACTTTATCTAGCCAAATAATTTTTATACTACGTAATTCTCGAATATTATTATGTTTATAAAAAGTAATGTCTTAAAGTAGCTGATAAAAATTAAATTTTTATCTATTCATGAGTTTTTCAAAATAAATTATAATCAAGTTTTACCACTATCAATACATCCCACTAATTCTAAGGTAATTTAAACTGTAATAACATGTTTAGATATTTAAATTCTTGTTTAATTATTAATATTTAAATATTGCTTTAAAAAAAAAATTTAAAGAAATAATAAAAACTTAAAAATTATTATGATATAAACATTTTAAAAGAATACATATTATTTTGCAAGATCGCATAAATTGATTCGAGAAGTTGTGTAAAAAAAATCATATTATACATAGTTTAATACTTAATATCAATATCAATCAGGGTCAGCATTTAGAGTAAAATCATGGGATAGCAAGCATCTTGCATATATTTAATAAAATTGTAGTCTAATGAAGTGAGGGAGTAGTCAGTGAATTTATAAGTCCTAGTTAACTAAGGTTTAAACATTAATAATAATATAATATAATATAATAATACATTTTTATATTGATATATATTATTACTTACATTACATTGATTTTAATATTTATATATATTGTTATACATAAATTAATAAAGAATTAAGTTAAAATAAAAAAATAATTGAATGGGTACCTACCTTTAATACATATACATATATATAAATTTAATTTACTCGTATTTATCAGAATTAAGTTATTTCTGTAAAAGAAATAAAAATGTAACCTATTGTAATAATAACCATTTGAATAGCCCACTTAAAAGTTTAAATATTTTGCATATTACTAAATATACGGTATCAAATATCAAAGAGTTAAGGGCAAAACATTATCATGAATAAAAATGTATTTATTATTAATTCATTTTAAAAAAAATATTAGGCTTTTATTTTAAATCTGTGGTTCTCAATATAAGCAGTGGTTGAATTGGAGAAAAATAAAGGTTGATACTAAATTATTTTGCTAATATTAATAGTATTAAATAATGTAATATTAGTAGGTACAAATTATAATCAAATAAATTATAAATATTACTTATTTTTCTTATACACTGAAATTATATACAATAATAATATAATACCTAATGCCTTAGGATAAATAAATATTAAAATTATTATTAAATTACAATTTTCCCATTACCTTGGTGATTTTTGGTTCTCTTCTTAAAAAAGTCCATTATGGACCATTTTTGACGTTTATTCATTTTATGTTTATAAAATATAATAAAAATAATACAGTACACACTAACTACACTATAATAATATAATTAGCAAATTATAGTATAATATACAAAATAATTATTTGTGGCGACAAGACGTCGTACTAGTCTACACTCTTTATTTCCTAGTAAATCACAAATTTAACATGCCAAAATTATATCTTTTAGCAGAATGCTTAATTTCAAAATTAAATATAAATAATATTTCATTTTCACAGAAAAGTATAAACGATCGTTATAGTTATTTTCGTAATGCAAGTCAATACAATCGATATTAATATTTTATTTTATTTTATCCAATCATAATCTGAAAAAATTAAGAATCCTAAATATTTTTACGAATTACTCGTAAGATAGTGTAATTTATAATTCGCAACCCTAGTAAAAATGATGGGGTAGCAATTGCTACCCCTCGCTACTCCGTAATGACGTCTATGATACTAATAACCATGTGAAAGTAAATAACTATCAAATATTTCTGGAAAACTTTTTAATCTTCCATCATAAAAGATATTATTAAATAAATATATATATATATGACTTAACAATGTTTTCTTCTTATATTTTCGTTGTGCTAGCCAAAATAAGATTAAATTCATGACAAATATACATATTCTTCCAAAACGTTTGTGTAAACGTGACTCAAATATTTTATAAATAAAAACACTACCTATCCATGAATTATTAACATATAATGTGATTATATTTTAATGTATTTAAGTTTACCTATATGTGATTCTGTTCCAATTATACATATATATGTATATATTATATAGATATTGTAATACTAAGATGTTATGTTGCAGTAGTAACTAAATTATTGGATTTCCAAAACGGATATATATTCAACGAAACATAAATTATATAATGCATATTAGTGGCCACACTAATCAAAACATAATTTATAGTTTGTGTTTAGTTTTCGAGACACGTGTGATTAACACGCACGAATAACCACAGTAGTCAAGAAAAGTTATGTTGCATATAGCTACTATTTAAGATTAATAACGACACGCAATACCTCATTCATTCTTGATTTACTATTAACTATTACATCAAATATAACTACGTGCATCATAATGTATAGTAAAAATTAAAAAATGAACAAATGCTTAATGCTTGTCATGTGTAGGCGTGAAAACATAATACAAGACAAAATACGTATAGTATAATAAGAAGAATTGAGCTGCTAATAATGTATGTATTGTCTTCTGATATTTTACGAATACAGTGATAATAAACAATAAGTGTTTTTTTTTTTATTTTTATAAATAACTCTTTTCAAACACTCATTAAACCTTAAACCAAATACCAAATAAATTGAATAATAATAATAATAATAATAATAATAATAATTTTTTGTCGTACAAACAGCGAATTAATAATAAACAAAACTGTTAATACTGCTATAGCTTGAACAAAAATAACTTAAATACCAACGCACCATGTGCGCAAATTGGGGGGCTTGGGGGGAAAGCCCCTAAACTTAACCGCAGCCCCCAAAAATCTAAAAATTTTAAATGTTATAATATTATAAATGTGTACAGTTTTGTATTTTGTTTTATATTTAAATACTAATATATATTATAAGATGGCCATGTTAATCATAAAATAAAAATTATCACTGGTATTGTGGAATTAAATGTATAATATTAGTTTGATCCTATATTATTAGGTATTATTATTACATCGTTTTATTATTTCTATTACGTCATGATCGCGATTGTATATTATACTAAATGTATATTTAGGTACCTACTTTATAATAATTATATAAGATACTCTTTACTAAACGCACGATGCCAGTAATAGGCCAAAAGCCCACATGATATTTGCCATGACGTGTTTAAAGTTTATATTATATTAGATTAAAAGTTTATTTAAAATTGTGTGAAAAATGGGGGAGAAAAGCCCCCCACGGTTCTGCTTGCCCTTAATATATTCAGCCCCGCCAAGTCAAAAGTTGAAATCACGCCTATGATACGCACTATTTAAATAATTTATAATAATACCTTTTGGTGAATGCTCGTGAAAGGTACAGCTACAGTCACTTGATTTGTCCCGGCAGAAGCTGCAGAAGCTTCGATAGGTTCTGGTTTACGTTTTATTTGCCACCAATGTGATGTTTCTTTTTCTGGAATAGCCCTGCAATGAATATTAAATTAACTAACCAACACCTAAGAATTAATAATATATGACATGTACTGTGTTTTACATGGGTATTAATATATGTTAACCAATGAGTATAATTAACTTACCCCGTTGACTGGTAAGCGCTATCGGCAATCGGAGATATTGAGGGTTTCTTCCGAGAAAACAGAGTTTGGTTCGTGCTTAAGACGCACAAAGTTAAAATCACGATTGCCTATATACACGTAAAAACAGATATTATTTTATAAAATACATATCCTTGCAATTTAGTATTGTATCATATCGAAGGTTATGTAATATTACGTTCGTATTATCGTAATATTATATACGTACCGTAGGGGCGACGAAGAGCTTGGCGTTGGGATACATGACGTGAATTGTGTCAGAAGAGTTCTTTCGGACAGCACCAACCCTGTTTATATAGTCACGGATAATAAAAAGTAGAGGTAGTAGGCCTATACCGCCCCACGCGCACCGTAAAAAGAACTGGTATATAATGACGAGGGGGGAGGGGGATGAAGGCGGTAACGGTGCGCCACGATCCATGCATACGCAAACAAATAATTATTTCGACAAAACAGGAATTAAATCGAGATCGACGAAATAACTGTACACTTGAGAAAAAAAAACATAATAAGGGTTCGTTTTCTCGTCTTTTCGTGTGACTGCGTAGGTTATATATTATACGACTATGCGTTGTCGTTCTACCGCATTCCTGAATGTTTAAAAGTATTTTTTTATACGCTTTACCGAAAACTTTTTTTCTAAATTAATCTAAAATGTATTTATAGCACTATAGTCATCGGTGGCGAGTATTTTCGTACTCACGAACCATTTTCAAAGTATATTATCGAATTGATAAAAATTCCGGATAACAAGCAAGCACACGTACGCCATTTAATAAATTCAACTTTTGTACATTCGAATTAACGACTGTCCTCTGAACAACAATACAGAAAAACTCTTAAGCTGTACAATATACAAATGACTAGTAATATCATACATAAACATCTATAATTCGAAAAGTAAATCAAATAAGAAAAGAAATTTCTATGAAATAAGGAAATTAACCCAAACATCGAATATAAATACAACAATGTAATTTTTAAGATAGAGAAACGGTAAAATATATATTCTTGAATTTAAATAATACATATTTATAATAATATAATATATATAAATATTATATTATATTAGACTAACTATTGTTATATGTAGAGTCCGGATTTGTATACACTTAAAAAACTTAAAATAAAATGCATTTATGCATTACATTTTTTTTAAATATACACTTATATACAAAAATATACAAAAATATACTCTTACCCAAAATTAATGAATTTATATATATTATTTTTCTTCCATAAATATTAATGCAACTCAATTAGATAAACTTAATATTTCAAGTACAGATATCAACTTATAGCATTAGTTAAAGAACAGTAAATATTTACACATATATTCAACAAAAAAAACAAATACTTTAGTTAGAAATAATAATAAAAATAAGAATGTAGTAAATCATTTTAAATTATTTCTTTAATAAATATTTAAAAACATTAAAAAAATGTTGAAATTCAATAAAAAAAAACCTATTAAAAAAATGAAAATACAATTATATAATAAAAATATTTTGATTAATAAATACGATTTATGATATTTATTTTTATAAAAATAATTCAACAATAATTATTTTTTTTTATGTGTTCAGGTGTTTTATTTGTCCTTCTATTACTTTTATGTTTATAAAGATTAAACGATCTTGTTTAATAATGTCGATGGCGCATGCTTCATATTGGCAACAAAATAAATAGTAAATTTTTCTGGAAGCTAGTTATATTTCATTGTTTCCTAATATAATTAATGACATTTGTTTTAATACCCAAATTCTTTTATTTTTGTTATACAATTAGGATATTTTAGTTTTTATAGCGGAAGCTTTGTGACCTTATATATTTGATAAATCATAATCTAGTTTCTACTGTGATGTAAAAATAAAATAGTTGGATTAATTTATTTTTATACAAAATATACTTAAATATGTATTTACATGCGAAATAAAAATTTTCTTATGCTATTCTCTGTTACGCAAATCGTCCACATTTCTTAATACCAACTATCTGCATATACACACTCATTACAAATATGTAAGTGCATACAAATATGGACTCCAGTTATATTTATATTCAATACTAGCTGACCCGACAAACGTTGTTTTGTCATATAAATTATACCTAGAGAATATTTTGCTAGAAAAAAATAACTAATTTAATATAAGTATGTAAGGATATGGTATATAAGCGGAAGAGGTATGGAGGGAGTGCTGTGAACGGTGACAGAATAAAAAATGAAGACATCGAACATTTATTTTTTTAATAATTTATTAAAATTGATCCTTTAAAATTATATATATATATCGCTAATTATGACAACATTAGTAAAAAACAATATCAATCCCTTAATGCAACAGAGTATACAATATTTTTGTTATCACAAACTGGATGGTTCGAGAGCACGCCACGTATAATTATCCATGTGAAAAATATGATGTACTCTAATCTAAGCCATAGACAGACATTGTTTGGCCTTGAGACTTATTGATAGTCATTGCAAAGTCAATCTAATTTGAAATTGAAGGCGTTTAAATTGTATTGGCACATCTGTTGATATAATAGGGATTCGTGGTAATAATATATTTTCACGGAATTTGCATTTAAAACGATGGCTATGATAACATTTTTCATTAATTTTTTATTGATTAATCGCGTGCTGTTGCACAACCGTGGTGGGTTCAAATTACGAAGCAAAATAACCGGAGATCCAACCTTTAGTTGTAAATTATGCGGTGATTTGCCTAGTAAATCCAATGAGTTTAAAAACTGTTGGATAATTTACAGCTTCAGTAGCATCGCAAACTGTAGCAATAGATTTGTATGACACCAAGTCTCCTGTTGACAAATGTTGTATCTTGAGGTTCAATTCGTTGACGTCCACATTTTTTGCTGCTAAAATTGTTCTTTCTGCCAGCCACTCATGATTCGTGTATTGTCTGTGTATATTGGAAAATATCTGGTCAATGAAAGCATCTTGCGAATCAATGATTGTGCAGAAATCGGTCGTTAATTTTATGCATTCCGTTTCATCTGTAGTAACTTTCCCATCACCGATATCTAACAATTGTTTCGAGAATCTTCCGCACGCAGCTTTTTTTGATTAAATCTCAAGTATCGAAATCTTTCGCTCTCTATCTTTACATACATGTCGACCATAAATTGTTGAAAAAGCTCACGACATCGTAGAATAGCGTTGTCCTGATCGTATCTAATCTTAACCGATAGATATGCATAATAATCCTTCGAACTAACATTCTTGTTAATTTTGGCACCTGTCGCAGGATCTTGTTGTTTAATATTTATGCAATACCCGTCATTTAATATAAAAAATAAAATTATTAGTTTTTTTATAGTTTCATTTAATAATTCATTTTCAATTGCGCTGTTATCGACCGGATCAAAAATTATTAAATTAAACTACGATTTATTAAACAATTGCAGTTTTCCAACATTTTTTTTTTCGTAAAAACTTTCTCCTGGCAATTACGAACAATTAAAAAAAATTTGAGCCAAATCGGCCCAGCCGTTCTCAATTGATGAAATGTTATACATTTTTGGCTCCATTTTTATATATATAAATAATATAGTCGTAGAATCGTCCATAAGGCTGTAAGATTGTAAGGTTGTGAGATTTGATAAAATAATAAATAAAAGTCTGTTGCACCCAGCTCGTTAAAATTATAATTTATGAACGTTGAAATCTATACGGAAGAGTGAAGACACATTTACATGTATTTTATTATTGTACTTAAATTATGTTAAAATATTTCGATGGATATTAATACTTCGATTGAGTTATTTTGAAATATCTAAAACCAGTTTTACGGTGAATATAGTTTAATATACGAGTATATAGTCAGCCCTGATAAAAAAAAAACTATATTATAAAACATGATAAGGTTATTTAAGCGTGTAATAAGTAATCAAGACATTACAATAATTAACTATATCGTTTACAACATATTAAATAAAACAGTAAAGTATATTAGTTCCAACACCTATATATTTACCAAAAATATAATAAAATCTAATTTTAATCATGTAATTATTTTTTCTACTTTTTCTAAAAAACCCATTACATTTTATTGGAATATCATCTTTTTGAATACTAAAATTGAATATCTATACCTTTTCAGAATACCAGAACTCCATGTAATATCGATACACAAGCAGGATCGGATTAACTTAGATGCAAAAGGAGCATTTGCTCCAGGGCGGCAAATTTAATGGGGCAGTCTAAAATAGCCTGAAAAAATTATTTAAGATCGTCATTAATTCAAAAAAAATGTCCAAGTTTTTCAATTTTATGCACAGAATCTGATTTGGTTGAGGAAATGAAGTGAAAAAAACTAAATACAAATAGATATCAGACTACAATGTTTCTTCATTTATAAAGGGAAAACGGAGTGTTATAAAATTATTCTTGATTTTCAATTATATTATTATTGTGTGCAATTTCGAAAAAAAAAACGAAATAAACGTCTAATAGTTTTCGATTTGCATTGGATATTCCGTGTATAGTGTTAAAGGGAAAAATGACCGTGATCACCAGGGCTCGGATTTAAATGCCCTAAAAATATTTAAAAAATGCTCTTTTAAAAAATGCAAAAATAAAGTTAACATTCAATTTATTATTATTATTATTATTATTATTATTATTTATTTATTCATTTAACATTTTAAAATTTATGATTTTGTAAATATAAAAAATAATAACAAGTAAAAAATTAGATAAGTAAAAGTAAAAAGTAAAAAACCAGATTGTCTGATGTTATATTGTTCAAAATGAAAATGATTCATATTACGCAATACAATTTTTATTTCAATAAGTCAATTTTTTTAGCCATATTACAATAAATAGGTCAAAAATGTCATAATAGATTAAAATAAGGCATTAAAAACGTCAATAAGTATAAAATCCGCTAAAAATTTAAAAAATGTCCCAAAATAATTTCTTAGTTACAACATGGAATACTTGAAATATATTTGTAGTTTGAAAAACATCGTGTAAGACATTTCAAACAAAAGATGCAAATACATTGAAATTCAAGCCCTAGTGATCACCAAAGGCAAAAGAGGTATCGGACTGGACGTGACAGAGGTTCTCGTCCAAAACAATGTGACCGTGTCCGGCTGGGACATTTGGACGAGCTCGAAAACCGTGAAAATATTGAACGATATGTACGGCACCTATCAATCGTCAATGTTCCGACGAACCGTAAAGGAGCAACTGAATGTTATGTGGTTTTCTAAGATGAATCGATTTAAATTAAATACGCCGCGGTTTAAATTTTATTTTCAAGAATCATATTCCCTGATTGCAGGTATTTT